TTTACAATGTTCGATGGTGACGGTGGTGATGCTGATACCATGATGATGATGATGATGCTGATGATGACGGTGTTTAAGACGAGGAAGATCACAAGATCACGGTCATAGCGAACATCATGGTGATCGATGATGATGAGATCGATGACGATTTTGTGGCTGAGACTTCCAGCGTTGACCGAAATGATACAGAGGGTGGTTCTATGATGTTCTATGCCTATGTGCGCAAAGCTGCTATTGATGGTTGTGGTTCCTGTTACGCGATTTATGGAGTCCAGCTTCAGTCGTTATTTGTCATGATGCTGTTGATGATCATAATGATTATGGTCCATGGTGATGGCAGTTGCTGTTGTTGCTGCTGCTGTTGCTGTTGCAGCTGTCGTCGTCGTGGGTGGCTGGTTCGGAGCTTAACACAGGGGCCTTCTGTTCTGTTCTGTGGCGGACTGTCGTTCTTCTGGCCACGTCTTGTGGCGCTGGGAAGTGCGTCCCAAAACTACATGCTGAATTCGGAGTGAAACATGGTTGAGGGCCTCCTGTGCCAAAAGGGCTGTACTTGGAGCTTCGGACCTTCACTGCTTTTGGCCTGCTGATATTCGCTCACCCACTTGACATCAGCTGGCTGTGGCGTGAAGGGACGCTTCAGAGTCGAGAGGAGGACATCCTCATCCTCAGAGTGGTGGGAGCGTTCATCTGAGGTCGGGAGTCGAGGGCCCAGAACTGTGGGCACTCTGCGTGAGCGCCCTTTGGTTTCCACTGGCCCTTCCTAACACCTGCTGTGCGACGCTCGACGGTACCTTCAAGCGTGCGGATTTCCTCTATGGTCAAGGGCCGGTAGAGGTGTACGCAGCGGATGAGGCATTGTGGAAATCGCTTCAGGTGTAATTGCGATGACACAATGTCTGGAAACAGCTTGTTGCAAGCCTGGCACATGCAAGAAATTGCATAATGGCGAGCAGGGCTGAAGATCTTATGTGTCTTTGCTAAGTGGGCGTGGAGATGCTTGCGGAGCGGGAAGGAGCTGTCGCAAATGTTGCATGCATAAGCACCAGCGGGCCCTGTTGGCGGCGGAGGTGTGGCCGGTTGGGCTCTGCGCTTGTCATTCCAAAGCTCCAAATCTTGCAGGAAGGCCTTTTGAGCGGCTCGAACTTGCTTGGGCCACCAGGTCACGTCAGTGGCATATGCTTCGAGAATACCTCCGACGACAGCTGAGGAAGTCCCAAGCAGATTGGTGACCTGAGGGATTTGAGCGGCAACTGCGTTGGCATCCTCCCGGAGCTGGCTCAACCAAGCCCGCTCTGGCGTGAGACGCCATTGGTCCCACAACAATGCCAGGAGCTGGGCCGGACCTCCCTGAAAAATTTTTTGGAGGCATGTGGCACGTGCGTAGGCAAGGGCCAGAGGTGGCGAGGGAGACGGTATAGGAGTGGGCCTGTGTATCCACTGCTGTACGAGCAGTGAGCGCCCTCCAGAGCGCCAAATACTGTCTCTCCCACAGTCGGCGATGTACCCCAAAGGGAAGAAGGAGCGCTGCCGCAGTGTGTGTATACTTGGAGACTGCTAGTGAGCGTAGCAGTGTGCGCCTGATGGTCAGGTCAAAGCGCAATGCTCCAAATAAATGTCGGCGCAAAGGCTTGATAGTGCCCATGCTGTGCGAAAATCGGAAGTACAAATCCGGGCTGGGGTTGGAGTCTGACGTCAAGATCCCTCCAAGATGGCGGTAGGAGTGGACCGCGGGGAGGAAATGGGAGGTACATGTGACGGGCTCTGTGAACTGAATGCCCGGCGCCCCATCTTGGTCGTGGTCGAGACAAGCCGAATGGTGTGTCAGGAGTTCGGCGGGCAGAAGTGTAGCTGTCTTTTCGACCCCAAATTTAACTTCCATGCCGAATGATGTGGCGTGAGAAGTAAGGATGGTGACGGCTCCTCGGACTCGGCTGACAAGCTCTGCAAAGGTGTCCGCGGTCTACACAGGGGCCTTAATAAATAGAACAGGGTTTTGGGGCCCATTATTCTGTACTTATAATAGGAACCCCCGAAAATAGTATTGGTAATTAATTAGGCCCCTACATTATGGGTCCAGCTGGGATCTACCGGAGACAAATCCTCAGACACCCCCCAAGCCCAAAATGGGAGATCCTGATGCCCCCCGTTGCCGGCAAGTTCCAGGCCCAGCAATTCCAGGAGCAGCAAGAGCTCAATGCGCAGGACCGGATGTAGAAATTTGCGTTCAGCCCCAGATTTGAAGACTTTGGCCTGGGGTTCCGTGAATTTTGCTGCGCGAGGATTTGGCTCACTGGCGGATGCTCTCGCCATTCTAGCACAATGTTGCTGTGAGTGCAAATGTAGTCTGCATGGCCGGGACCGACTCTATCAACCCCTTCAGCCGGTCTTATACCCTGGCCCCAAACCTGACACAAACCTTCCGGACCGCTTAAACTTGAAGACCTCCTAAATCCAAAGTCGTGAGTAAGCTCGCATCCGGCTCGTCTTCAGGGCTAAGGGCTGCACAGCTACCTAGACCCTCCCAGCTACTCGGCGTACATACACGGCAACTACCACTATGACGGGCTGTGGGGCCTTCGCACTAAGCTCAGGGTGGTTCGCGGGGACGCCACTAAACGCTAGACCCTAAACCTTTCGGTATTCTTTGGCATGGGCTGCAGCGATCAGGGCGCCACGGCAAGGTTTCAACACCAAAACCCGCCCCAGAAACCCTGAACCACCTGAAATCCCAAAGCCGTAAACCATACCTGGACCCCAAAAGTTTTTAGAGCAATCGCCCTTCATAGGCTTCGGGCCATCATTTTACCTACTCTTGGGGTTTAGTTGTATAGACGAGACCACAATTTGGGGCATTTTACCCATGATGAATCCCCAAAACCCTAAACCCCAAACCCTATATCACCCTAAACCCTATAATTTTCACCCTAAACCCTAAACGCCCTAAACCCTATATAGTTCCTAACCAGGGCCTCTCACCCATTGATATACCCAGCGGCGAAGCAGGATCAGGCTCGCTGGATCGGAATGCACTGCGCGCCAGCAGGCGTCGGGTTTGGGGTTTAGGGTCTATAGGGGTTTGGGGGTTTAGGGGTTTAGGGGTTTCGGGTTTGCGGTTTGGAGTTTATACTAGGTGATATTCAGAAGTTAGAGTTTTGGGAGTGAGGTTTGGGGTTTATCAGGCTTTGATTTCGAGTTTGGGGTTTAGAGTTCAGGGTCTGGGGTTTAGGTTTCAGGCTTTAGGTTTTGGGGTTTGGGGGTTAGGGTTTGAATTTTCAGGGTCTCTCAGTCCTCAGCAGGGCACTTGTTGTTCCTTATGAAGATTACTGTTCGGTCTAAGTCGAGGTTTGGGGTTTGTAGGTTTGTTGCATTCTGAGGTTCATGTTGAAACTTCTAGGGATCATTTCGCGTACAGGGCTCGTAGAGCGTGGGGCTTTATGGTTTTAGGGATTATGACACTTTACGGTGCAGGCGTTCAGGGGTTCGGGCTTTCGGAGTTTTGGGTAACGGAGACTGAGGCTCTGATTCCGGTCAGGGAGCTTGAGAAACGGCTACTAGGCTACCCCATCTACATACGGAAGGCAGCAGGTGGGCGAGCTAATCCCGACACAGAGGTGCAGTGACAAGAAATAACAATACATGGCATCTGTGTTATCCAAAAGCCTCCAATCCTGCACGTGCTAGGCACTGAACGAAGAGTACCAATACTGCAAGCTGATTCTTGTCAGACAAAGTTTATAGTCTAGGATCCTGAAGAAAGTGTATGGGGAATACCAGGTTATATACCCCGCTCCTCCCTTAAGGATCTCGCAGCTATTGACCCCCGACCCTCCGCAGCCTCTCCGCCGCAGGTCTTCCACCCTCCATGGGCGAGTTTCAGGCCGCTTCGCAATAGCAAGTTCTTCTTTTGCTGAAGGGTCGAGGGTTTGTGGTTCAGGGTTTAGGGCCTTAGGGCTTTTGCTTAAGCTCTTCGGCACTGTAGATCCAACCTGATGTGGCTATCTTATCAACTTTCAAGCCTCCCATATTCAGGCCATCTTTGCTCCAAGTCGCAACCGCGACAAGCCTAACTCCCCAAATCTTCTAAAGCCGCTCGTGCGAAAATCCCCCACCAAAGCCCCTAAAACCTTAGACGAAATTCTATGGCAAAACCCCACGTTGGGGAACTGTCAGAGGTGGAGGAGCCTGCATCCAAGCGAGCGCGCATGGACGGACTTGGCGCGAACGGCAGTTAGACAAAAGAAGAGCAGGCTTTAAAGTTATTTTCAAAGGGCAGTTAGTATTCAAGTTATATTGTGGAAGCCCGAATAATTAGACGGGTTTTTCGGCTATGGCTCTTCAGACTTTTGCATCCTTTGTAGTAGGCTTCTGTCCTTACATGAGAATAGTATGAGCACACATTACATAGCCTACACCGGACTTCTGGTTTTCTCAGCTCAGGCGTGAGTAGCAAGCGATGTAGGATTTAGGCAAAAACTCATGTCTTACGTTTGATTTACAAGGTTGGGGGTTATATATAGGTTCCGCAGTCCAAGAGATTTTCGGTCATTAGTGTATAGAGCCCTTACGCATCAAGACCCTGAGCAAGCCGCGCTGAAGCGCTTGGGGTGCCTGAGATGTTGCCTTGTGGACTGCATTCGATGGTTTAGTAGCGTGCAGGTCGCTTGAGACTCTTCATCAATTTGGTTCAGCCGCTCCAGTCTACATCTCTCTTCCAAGGATGAGAAGCTTCGTCAAGGTTCAGTTCTCCCTTATGAAGTCTCAAACCCCACACTCCAATCCCCGAAAGCCTACCCACCCAAACCCCAATCATACAATCATATCTATAGCCAAGACCCTGCGTCGTAGACGCCCTCTATGTCGGAACCTTTCTCCTTTACGGTGTACCTGGACCCCAAAAGTATGTAGAATAATGTCCCTTAAGGGGTTTCGGGCCATTAAATATTTAACCTACTTTGGGGGGGGTTGGGTAGGGTATTCCATGAAGCCCTCTCTTTTGCCAGGTCCCGCGGGATCGACCACGAAACGGCTTCCCAAGGTCTTCTGAGGGGTCGTGCATAAGTGTAGCCGGTACGTTCCCTAAAGGGTGGGTCTAGTATCGACAGCTTGGGCGGCCGTTAAGGCTTTGAATACAAAGATGAAGGGGGAGTCGGTACAATGAGGATTCTAAGCTTCGGGTCGATATTACGATCCTGTACTTTTTAGTGGCTCCAGCAAGGCGGCGTTCCGGATGCGCATGTCCGTGCACTATAACTTCATTCGGGGGATCTGTATATTTCTTCTTTTCTGAGTGGGATCAACTTGGTATCCTGGTTTCCAGCTTCTGAAATGGTGGATTTGACTTCGAGGCTTAAAGGGGTCAGGGCTATGATGAGGATATTTTTCGGAACTTGGTTCGAATCCGAGAGTCTCGCGATATCCGAATCCAGGAGCACTACGAAAAAACTATCAACCGCCCCATCATCTTGATCCCCTTTCATCGAACAGCTCGAAGGGGAGGGAACGACGCAAGAAGCTCTGCTCAGGCAGTTTCGTGAGCGAATCGGACGCAGGCCGGTTCTGCGCGCCCGCATCATGCAGAGACATCTGCCTTTACTACCTCTGAATCCAGGAAAAACCGAAATGGGCTTGCTTAATTACACGATGTACCAAAATATTGATACTATAATAACCTATCCTATAATAGTATACTATTTATAAGTTACTTTAACATACCATCATACACGATGATACACGTAGTTAAAGTTCATGGGAGTAGCTGTTTTGACTGGCAGCAGTCCAGGGAGCTTTTTGGAAGCGGTGCCGGAGTGCAATAAATTTTGAACCACGCCTTTCCGAGTTTCGGTAGGGACTTCTCCCAAAGCCTAAACCCTAAACCACCACATCTTCCACAGGTTGAGGAAGGTTCGTGGTGAAGGAGCTTCGGGAATTTGTAGGATGAGCTAAGTTAGGATGTGTTGAAGAGCCTCAAACGGGGAATGGAGAAAAGGGCTGATTCTGCTAGAGCTTGGAGAAGTTGGCCCGACAGAGGAATCTAGGATATTACATGCTTTTAAAAGCAAAATGCTATCTTTCGTAGTTGTAGTCGGTATAGAAGACCGGACACTTCAAGATCTACCCCTGACAGGAGGCAGTGTCGCTGCATCCGAGGTCTCGAAGGCACCGTGTGCTTGGTAGAAATTCTGCGAATTTCGTCTGTCTGGTTCTTGGTAGGGAATGGATCCCTATAGTAGCCCCTATATAATCCCCAATAATAGTCCATCCATTCCCCCATTCTCTACTAAGCACCAGACAGTTGTGGATTGAACATAATCAAGATGAGTACAATGAAGGAACCAGAAGCGAACAACTAGACGTGAGGGCCTTGGTAAATTCACTACTTTGCATCCATTCTCCACTGCACTTCTACGGGCCCGAAACATTCGCATGATGGTTTTCACGATTTCGTTCATGGTCGTTTCTTGCTTTAGCTTCAGAGGCAAGAGCCTTTGCAATTGCCCCATGCACCTTTGCACATTTTCGAGGGTTCATCAGCTACCTTAAGCCTGAATAACCTACCTTTTTAGGGATCCTTATTCTGATTTCCTTACATAAGTCCTCAAAAAGGCAGGTTATTCCGGGTCAAGGTAGGATCAGAAGTAGCTCCATTGGATGTAGTTCAAGTAGTTTTACGCAGGTGCCCTTTCGTTTTAACCCTGCTTGATCCATGGTTCATGGTTAGCCTTTTGGAGGCCAGTGAACCACGGCAATGCTGTGGTTAAACTTCCCAAGGACTTATATCAACCTAACGCCCTAATCTCTCCAAGGCCTCAACCCCCAACACAAGCCCCACGCTCTCTACACAGCTCGAAAGTTTCGTGTGGATTCCTCTTGGGCACATGTTGCAAGTAACGCTCCCCTGCAAGCAGGGAAGCCGTGCAGTTGGTTGCTGGCTTGTTGCTAACCGAAAGCTTGCACACCCTAGGGTCCAAAATGGCCCGGAAGCCTTGCAGAATATGGTCTCGGTCTCAACAGCCGTGAATGGAAACTGAGCTTTTAGGGTCCTTGCCCATCAGCATGCGGCTCGCACCCCAAAGCATACATGAATGAGTTTAGGGCTTTTGGGGTGTTTGGGGTTTTGGCTTTCGGGTGGGTTTGGGTGTTTGTCATTTGTGCTGTGACGTTTCGAGGGTAGGTTCGTTTTGAAAAGGTCAATCAGAGGACTCGGGTTCAAGGCTTTAGGGTTTGGGGTTTAGGATTGAGAGTTTCGGGTTGAGGGTCTAGGGGGAGATTGAGAGAACCGCCCAGCAAAGCCGGAAAGGCTGGGAGCCGAAACTGAACAGGTGAGCCACTGCACTGCACATGCAGCCTCCAATGTGGTCATAGGATGTCATAGGAATCCTCCTTACAGTAACCCTCGTAGTAACCCTAAACCTATCTAAACCCTACACCCACATATGTAGGTGGACGACGCCAGTATGCTGAACTTCATGGCATCCCGAAACCCTGTAAGTCCGAGCACATCAGGCCGAGGAAATCAGACCACGGAAGCGCGAGTCCACAAAGGCCCGGCGGCTGTCTGAAAAGTCGTCGCCTCGGATGTTACCGAACTGGGATGTTTAGCCAAGCGCGTAGGTTTCGAGGCAGGAGTGGAGGATTGCAGAGTGTACCTTAAGGGTTTAAGGTTTACCAAATCTGGTGTAGGCAGCTTTGGGCTGTACCTAGACCCCCAAAAGCAGGTAGAATAATGGCCCAAAACCTAGGCTATTATTCTACATACTTTTGGGGTCCAGGTAGGCTGAAGGTCACGGGCTCTTTTCGGCTTGGGCTGCAGTTACGGGGGTTTGGGGCTGAGGGCTACACGAGAGCAGCCTCCACTCCCTGCTCCGTTGTTGGATCGCGTTCTTCATTTTTATATGGATGTCGAATATCGGGCCCCAAATTCCTAAGCCCCAAAACCTCCAAGCCCCATGCAGACCTTACAACCCCACTGCAAACCTTACAACCCCGAAGCTGGAGCTCTGGAGTTCGGGCTCTTGGAGTGGTCTAAATGCCCACCCGACATTAACCTCGGCCCGATTTGCATGCCTAAGCATTGATAGCTTGTCACTGTCGTGACGATCTGCCTCTACCAAGCTATCATGTCGGCAGTTTTCCATAGCAGCCCTAAGCCCTATAGACCCTAAACCGTGCAAGGCAAGACACCCCGCCTGCAGCCGCCACCAACGTGAGAGAGGAGGAGCAGTTCTAGTTGTGCTTTGATGTAGTAATAATCGAAATAATACTCATACCTTTAACCCGAAAGCGTGGACTCGAAACAGGTGTTTGTTGGGGTTTCTTTAGTCTTCTGAATTTGAAGCAGTTCTCAAAAGGTATCACCTGAACTGTCGACCACAGCACTCTTTGTTTTAGGTTCTTTTGTAATCCCCAATAATCCCAATCGACTGTATAGACTCTATAGTCTATAGCAGTAGATTTTGACAGTTCAATGTACATCCTAGTTCCTGCATGATCCTGAAACAGACAAGATTCGGAGTAAGTCGATCACGGGGCGCCCGAGCTTGGAATAAAAAGCAGTACGACCTGAAACTGTCTGTTTCTGCGGATGGCCCGGCTGTTCGGTTTAGAGGGGCTTCTTTAAGTAGGTGGTTGTCAAAATTTAGGGTCCCTTTTTGGGTCCCTATTATGATGCGGCACCTATTATTTTTAGGGTACCCAAAAAGGGACCTTAATTTTGACAACCACCCAAGTAGGAAAAACTCGGTACCGAGGATTGTCTTCCTGAGGTTTCAGGTTCAGGTCACACGCCGTACTCCGAGGAAGGCATGCTGGAGTCTCTGCACTGAGAACCGATCTTGTCGAGGCCAGAGAAGACATCCTCCTTCAGGGCCATTGCAAGCCGTAGCCCAGGCCTCCGTCGTCGACTTGATCATCTCGGACAGCACCCTCTGCGCCGTGAGCCCGAAAGCACCTGTGCATAGCAACGTCCACAACGCAGAAGCCCGAAAGAAGCCACGTCAATTAGCCAGGAGCGGAATTATGCGGGCAAAGTCGCCGCGGACACACTCTTCCCAGTGCCGGTGGCACCGGCGTGGGGAAGTAGCTTCGTCGGCGGCGGTTTCAATAACCACCGCCTGCGTTGGCCACCACCTCGGCGTGGATGCGTGAAAGCAGTGACACTCAGCGATGACCGAGGTGGGGCGCCTGGTGAAAGCTGCCGGAGACACCGCAGCCTGTCATACTCCTGGTGTGCGCAGGCTCCTTCCCAAATAATTTTGCGAGTGGAACGCGCATCTACTGCAGGGAACGACTTCGGTGCCGACGTGCCCCTGCAGGACCTGGACGCGGCCATTGCAGTGTTCCGAGAGGCACGCGTCAGCTCGGAGCTTTCTTCCAAGCATACTAGCAGCCGGTGCAGGCCTGCGCGAAGTGGGAGTATCGGGTGGTCTTTGGTAGACGTCGTTCCCGCGTCTGACATCCCGGTGGACAAATCGTGGGTGCAGCTGGGTCTGGCGTCGAAGGCTTGAGACATGCAAGCAGCATATCGGCATCAGACTTTAAGTTTTAGACCAGGCGAGCGATGTGGCACGGGACATCGTCCAGTGTCTTTGAAGTATCAGGCCGAGTCGACTTTGGGGATCAAGACCAACAATTTCTTGACCTCTCCAGGGGCCCAGCATTAAGACCGATAACTCCGACCCGTCCAAGGACCCAGCCTTAAGACCCAGAACTTCATGACCTCTCGAGCCTTGAGACCCTCAGCTTGTTGACGCTTCCAGGGGTCCAGCCTTAAGCAGACAGAAAGCTGCCGTCAGGCGCTTTCAGGCCAGCATCCTCACGGACGATACAAGAGAACGCTCGTGCCGACACAAGCCTCGATGTCGGTGTTCCTGGCCACGATGAGTCGCGCGACCACATGCTTTTGATCAGCGGTGTTCGAGGTCGACTCAGTTCCTGCACGTCGATCGTGAGGGCGCAGAAAAAAAGGTTCGGGGTTGGACAATGTGCCAGGTGAGCACCATGTGAGTAGGTACTCAGGCCCGGAAGGGGTCCCTATATGTGTACTTGAAGGCCTAAGTACCTACTACATGGTTACAGGGAGCCTTTGGGGACCTCTTCAATGCACCGTACTCAAGGATACTGCAAACCACGATGCAGGTTCGGGGCTTTGCAGATTTGATGGGTGGGTTTTGGGGTGTTTACGATCGAGCGCTTAGGGTGCCTATGCGCACACATGCAGGCACTGGAATAGAGCCCTGGTTTCGAGCCCTCCAACTGAGGCCTCCAACTTTGGATATTGATGATTGGGATGATGATGGTGATGATGAGGATGATGGTTGCGGTGGCGATGATGGTGACATTGATGGTGAGAATTTATGGTGGTCATTACCATGCACTGGCGTGTTACAGATTGTGCACAGTACCTTCAACAAGACAAGAGTATGACCCCGGCCCCCAAGTCTTGTCCTGAATATCCGATCTCCGAAACCTGAAGCTTAAACCCCAAAGTCTGCGAAACCTGCATCGCTAAACCTTGTCAAGCTCTTGAAACCTGAAGCTGCAAATACTTTTGACGTAAGGCTATTGCTATGTATCCCTAGGAGGAGGAGCCAAAGAGTCACTCCTCTCCGCAAAGCGTTGAGGCGGCACCTGAGCTAATTGCGGGTTTGGGGTTTAGGGTTGAGGGATGCCAGTTTATTTTCGGGGTTACCCTTAGGCCCCAAGTTAGTTCCTTTTGGGGTTCATGTTTAGAATTCTATAAAGTAAACGCAAGAAGGAACTGCTAATTATGGGGCCTAGCTAGGGGGTCGGATTGGTGGCTTGGGGGCTTTACGGTGGAGCCTCTTGAGGAGCTTCAAGAATCCGCGGGGCCCGGAAACTCCATCCGGGTTTGAATTTCAGGGCTTATGGCCTCGAGCCGGGTTTTAAAGAATTCAGAAATGTTCCGGCTACGTGCACGTGAGTCAAGTTCGTACTTGGCTCATCAATTTTTCGCTGGGCCCCAAACCCTCAACTCTAAAAAGTGATACCTTCGCGATTCCTGCTCGTCTCTGGTATGCTGCAGCCAGATTGCGCTTCCAACTTTTTTGACATCTCCCTTGAAACAGGGATGCTCACCGAGCTCTGCAAAGTTGAAGCCACAGCCCAAAGCCAAAGCTAGTAATTTTCATCCGGGAGGGCGGCAAGGTTGGTACCGTTCTATCACACTGTTCATCCTATCGTGAGGAGATATCAGTGCTGAGATGGTAAGTGCGACGTTATTCGACCCGAATTATGGGGTTTGTTGTCGAGTGGTGGAAGGTTTATGTGTGGCGCTACGTGTTAAGCTGCGAAATGTAGGTTATGGTTGCGGTTAGGGCGGAGCCGGCAGGTTTCGGACAAGCTCGTCACCTTCCGAAACCCAACTATTTTCCAGAATTTTTGCAGAAAATTTGCAAACTCGCCACCGTCTGCCAAATTTTGCCCCGGCGCGGTCCGGCACACTGCCGGCGGCGGGGGGGGGGGGGGGGGGAAATTTCGGGACGGGGAGGGCCCGGGCGCGCCGGGGGCGTCCGACCCGACCCTCCCCGATTCCCCGACTCTCCCCGACTTCTTTGTCTAGCTTTGCTGTTGCAAGCCAGCTGTCCCCCGACTCTCCCCGACTCTCCCCGACTCTCCCCGGCTCCCCCGGCTGCCCCCGACTCTCCCCGACTCCCCGCCACCTCCCCGCCTGTGCTCCCACGGTTTTTTTGTGTTTGAACCGGATTTTTGGCGAATTTGAAAAAATTATGGTTTTTCCAATGTTTTGCGTTTTTTGTTTTTCCGCCACAGCCAACGTTTTCGGCTCTGGCAGAATTTCGTCCATCAAAAGTTGGGCGTTTCGCGAGTCTATGTTTATATAGAGTTCATAGTCAGTGGTGTGTGAAAACCAGGCGTACAGAATTGGTGCGTAGCAACTCGGTCAGCTCCAGGTTGTACAAGTTTCAATTCATGACAATGCTCACAGTATGCCCCCTCGTGTTCCTGGTTTGGGGTTACGTAGACTTCGGAATGTGCCGACCCCGATGAAAATTGCTAGCCAAAGCCTGCGAGAATCCGAAAGCGTAAGCCCATAACATAGAGGCCTTAATAATTAGAATAGGGTTTGGGGGGGTATATTATACGTTTTTCAAATTCTTAGTAAGGAACGCCAAAAGGAGCATTCGTAATTGTTGAAGCCCCTATATTAGCATGTTCAACCACATGGAATTACGGTGTCACGGGCTGCGAGTCTCGGGGTAGTGGCACAAGAGCGAGGGCAGCTGCTAGTTCTCCTGGACTGATAGACTAGAAGTCTGAGTGCAATGTCGTCCTTAAAGATCGAACCCTAACCCCGTCACCCAAACCCTGCATAAACCGAACAATTGGGTATCATCAACGGCATCTCGAGTTTCACCTTGGTCTCAATGATGTCTGTATGCATAGCCAGCTCAGCTTCGTCATCCAAGCTTAATAAGCACGCTCGGCACTGCGAGTGCCTGCGTAACATGAACGAAGACACCGCGGTCGACCGTGGTCTGTGGCCCTAGGCCCGAAATCCTGAACCCGGCCCGACCGAATGCTGAACTCTTACCGCCCAGAGACCCGCAAGTTCCAAAAGCCTTAGCGTTAACCCTAAACCCTAAACCCTAACCCACCATGGACCAATGGACCTGAAACTTCAAGCACCGAACGGCACTTTTGCAGCAGGTTCCGATCCCTGATGTGCCCTGGGCAGAGTCACCCGACCAAGCGCCAATCAAGGTGTTCTGGGCGTTAAAAGGAGTTGGCAGTAAGGTCAGGGGCTACTCCAAACCCGCATAGAGCACCAAAAACGGCACCCAACTTTAGACGAGTTCCTGCAGGCACTCCGTTCAAAGGGTTTATAGAGTTGTTTCTGTTGTATTCATTTTGGGGTGAGGGGGGGCGGGGTTATAGTTATAGGCTTTTGTCGGGCTTGACCCACCCGTGGTTTCCGGTCTGAAACATACATCAATCTCTTTTGAAGTTTGAAGGTTGACACCCTCAACCCCAAACCTAAGAGGGTGGAGACCGTCTGTGAGTTCGTAAAAAACAGCAGAATGTTGCGATTCGCTGTGCGGCTTGATGTGCCAAGTTCGCATGCCAATACAAGGTTGTTGACGAGAAAGCCTTCAGCAATCCGCTCGAGCTTTGGTGTTTGTTGCTGTGTCTCGGACCAGGTGGGGGATTTGGCTAGAGGAACCTCTTTCCAATCACAAAAACCATCATTGCAACGTCTCTGGGCTAAAAGGACTTCCTACAGCATCGGGCAGCATCATCATGGCTTACAGGGAAATTCCAGATGATATAAACAGTGTGGTCGCATCAGAAGCCTCAAGTGTGGTGTGCAACCCAAATCAAAAGCCAAAACTCTAACCCCTACACCTAAGGCATTCTGGACACATGGGAGTCATCCAGAAGGAAAAGAGGCGACAAAAAAAAAACACCAGAGACTCCAAACAGCGCAGCCCCAAGCCCCTAAACTCCTGAATTTTACCTGTAGCTCGGCACGATTTGTGATGCCTACCTCCCTTTCCGTCGACCCCGACACAAACAGCTGGCGAAGTCTGGCATTGGCCTCCGCCTGGCAGGCTTTCAACTTCGACAAAGCCGTGGAAGGCCGGGTAAGGGTCGGGTGTTGGTGGGATTTGGAGATGGCTTGGCTTAGCTTTCTATGGAGAAAGTGGCTTACGGCTTCCTGGGCGAAGGGTTTTTGAGCACAGCTGCTGTTGGCCTAGGATTCTGGCAATGACATTTACAACACATCTACAAAAAATGATGAATTAAATAGACCAGCGAGGACCCTCAACCCTAAATCCTGCTACAAGTAGTCATTGCAAAGGTCTCAGCAAACAGGCTCATCCTGGTAAGGACGTGTACTTGTCATGCAGTTGGAGAAAGGCCCACCAAAAAATCCTGCCATGAGAGCAAGACCACGTGAGCCGCAACCACCCTGTGCTTGGCCTGACCATGGCGGGTTGTATGAACTTGTCGGGATCATCCTTTTGTCGTCGGAGCCACGTTTCCCCCAAAACCAAACCTCACGGCCAAACCCCAAACCCTATAACATCTTCAAATTTGCCAACCCCCTATAGCAACCCTTATCGTAAGCTATATAGCAACCCTAGCGGGAGCTCTGGTCCCGTTATGAGCCCAGGTCCGCTGTCGCCGGTGCAAGAAGAAGTACCACGGGCGACCATTCGGGAGACCGGTGATGAGCCCAGCAGAATGGGTCTTGGGGTATAACGGTATAACTTACTTTGGCAACAAGGGGAGATAAGAGAACGCGATTATATCATCTATTGGACATGATGCTCTTTCTCTTTGTGCTTAGGGTTTGATTCCCTGAACAGCATCGTACATTTCAACGCTAGGGTACAGAGGCCCCGTTGGAAATCAGCCCCTCGCCCAGCCCAAGGGGCTTGAGGGAGTATTGGGAGGTTTGGTTGCAAGAGCAGAAGGAGAGAAAGGGCTCTTCTATATCGGAAGTCTCTTCATGCAACCTTTGCAAGAAACCTCTTCTGGTTATGAAGAAGGTCAGGGAATTCCTCAGCAAACCTCCAATCGTACGAAAAGTCCCACCGAAGCCGACTCTCCGTCAGACCCGGATGTTCTTCTATCGATGCTGCACCACTGAGGAAGCACAAGCTGCAGATTTTTTATTGCCTACTTCCATGGGGCCAGGGAGCACAGCTATTGTCAAGATGAGGAGTTGCAGGCCTTCATGGTGATCATCGTCCTCGTCGCGTCATGACAGTTGCCATCATCAGTGCCATCATCACCATCGTCGTCGTCATCGTCGTCATCATCATCGTTATATGTTTCGACATAATCACAGGCATTGTCGCCTGCACCATCGCTGTCTTCCTCCTCATGGCGGATCATTACTACCCCCATCCCCCTGATCTAAAATCTCTGAACCCTTACCTGCCTCAAACCCGAAAGTCAGGCATCTAAGCATTTAAACTCCAACTGCCAAATCCCAGTTCTTAAGACCCAGAACCCTACATCGCAGTTATTTAAATTATCGAAATTCAAAACCCTGAATCTCAAGTCTCTTGATCCCAAACCCTTAAGATCAATTACCCAAACTCTAAACCCTAATCTCGGTCCTCTACACCCCAAACCTCTTCACTTCCCTAAACCCCAAACCCTGAGGCTTCTTCTGGTAACCCTTGTAGGAACCCTTCTACCAAGTAGCAACAGAATCGTACTTCTGTTACTCCCTTTAGTGCCCCATAAAGCCCTCAACCCCAAACCCCTAAACCCTAAACTCCGAAACCCTAAGCCCCTAAAACTTAATGGTAACCCACAAAGGAACCCTTTTGGGAAACCCTAAACCCTAAACCCTAAACTTCGGAGGTCCTCCGGAGACATCACAGGAGCCTCCCGAGGAAATGGCTCCCCAGCCTTCCCCACAGCAGGGCAAGGCCAGGTCTCTGTGGTTTGAAGAATTGGCCTTGATGAGCGGAATAGGGTTCCCTTAAACAAGAGGCTATAACAAGGGTGTAGGGGTTTTTAGGGTTTAGGGTTTAGGATTTTTAGGGTTTGGGGTTTTAGGGTTTAGGGTTAGGGTTCTTAGATTTAATTGAAGGGGCCTAAATGATCAGAATAGAGTTCCGTTAATTTTAAAAGGGGTGCCTGAGGGTCTACCTGGACACTATAAAACCTACCCTTTTTAAGGATTCTTGTTTTGATTTCTTTTTATAAGTCCTTGAAAAGGTCGGTTATTGGGGATTAGGGTATAGGGTCTATCAGAGTTGAGGGGTTTAGGGTCTAGGGTTTAGGGGTTTAGGGATTAGGGTTGAGGGGTTCAGAGATTAAGATTATGGCTGGTGAGTTTAGGATTAGGGTTTGGGGTTCAGGGGTTTATTGTCTAGGGCAGGGTCTCTGGTCTAGGATTTGGGTTTCGGGTCTAGGTTTTCGGGATTAGGGGCTAGGGCTTCGGGATGTTTAGGGTTTCGGATCAGCGTTTAGGGTCTATGGTCTAGGGTGAAGGGTCTGGGAGTTGGGGCCAGGGTTTAGATGATAGGTTTAGGGTTGAGGGGTTAGCTCAATATGTATTTTCCAGTATAGTAAAACCCCGAGGGGGATAAACAGCTTCCTTGCTTATGTTGTTTCCTAAGGGCGCGCAAGCATTGCATTTTATACGAGAAGGTTTCTCTCTTGGGGTGTAGAGCTAGTTGTAGGACTTGGGTTTCGGATTGCTTTAAGGCTCCTGCAGGGTCTTACTAAGAAGGTCCTAAAAGGCTGCTGTACTTCAGGGATTCTAGAATGCTTCAATGGCGGAGGTTTGGGGTTCAACATTTTTGGTTGTGCGGACCCAGGAGAGGCCATCGTCAGGGCTTTCTAGGGATGTAGGGCTAACGGGTTTGAGGCGTTGCCTGGGTTCATGCTTCTAAGGAAGTTTAAAGTGGGAGATTGCAACGCGGGTTTTCGTAGAGTCTACGGTGGAGTTCTCGACAGGAAGTCGAAAGCTGCCACCATTCAACATCGACGTTTTGACAAAATGAACATGACAACAGAAGTTTGGGTCCTGAATCGGCCCTCGAGAAGGAAGCCCCTGATAAGCTTATTTCCGGCAGAATCCTTCCTGTAAGATCTATCATCCTCGAATGTGTTTGAAAGTTTGAAGGCTGCTGTACTACAGCTCAACATGAATTAAGTCCGCAAATTCAAGCTCCACAAGCTGATGAAACATGGCTCCAACAGCCAAAAAGGTTCCAAGCGGCCCAAAGGGGGGGCTTCGGGTGCAAGAAGCATCATTAAACTACTCAGAGTAGTCCTGCGGACCTGAACCCCTAACGCTCATTGTAGCGGAGTCTGGTTTCCAAACCTGTGCAATTCGCAGGTGGATGGTTTGCATGAAGGGTAATCAAGGTTGATAAATGGTTGTAAGCCCAGACCCCCCCCCCCCGCCAACAAAAACATCAAGCCCTGAAAGCGACCCTTGTTCCCTGCTCACGAAGGCAGTCTCGTGATGCCAGTCTTTCAGTCGACATTTCCCACGTTCCCGTTGTCTTTGTGTGAAAGCAGGTGCTTGCCAGCGCTACACTGTTGACTTCCAACGTCGTTTACGTAGCAAGCTCGCAGGCGCAATCCCACATAACAAACACAAGAGTTCCGGTCCATCGTAGGATCTGTAGTATCTGTGTGCAAAGTTTGCTTCCCGAGACGAACCATGTGCATTGTCGTTTGCTTCACTTCACGGCCTGCCGGGCGGAGTTTCGTTTTTATCGAACACAGCGCTTTCTCTGCACTTAGGATAGGTATAGCCGGGTCTGTAGCAGCGGTCACACAAAAGCTTGTGAGGCGGCAGCATTCACGCTCGCTCTGCACTTCCACCTTCGGATCATGCATAAGTCGGAGCCTTCACATGGCACAGTAACAGCAGCTCTCCAGCACCTGAACCCATAAAACATTCTGAAACAAAAAACCTTGAGCTTCCCTGAACCATGTTCCTTGGAGGGGTGCTTATCTACTACGGATGCAGGCTGAAAGTGGACTCGTTGACCATCCGGGGAGCTTCATTTTTTGCATCCCAAAGCCCGAAAGCCGATGAGCCCCAAGGCGGCTGTTGTGAGGTTTAGGGCCGCGGAAAAGTCCCAACAGCAAGGGTTGCCCGTTGCTTTTAATGTTTCGTGCTTTCAAGGTTTCAAACCTTCCGGTATATCCGAGGGCATGCGAGGAGCACGGGGTTTAGGGCTAGGGGCGTTTGACGTTGAACTCAGGTTTAAAAGCTTTCCAGCAAGGTTCGAGGCGTGCACAAGTCAACCGTAAATCTTTTGAGGTTAGGCCCCACACCCTAAACCTTGCACCCTTGAGCCCCAAACCCTTCACCGTTCACCCCCGAGCCCCCTAAAAACCCCACTCCTCCGAATCCATAGGTTGTCAGGTGTTTAAGTTTGAGCAGCATCCGGTTTTTTAGGTTTTTAGGTCGTTTTCCCAGTTACAGTTCTCGAATATGCATTTGGCAAAACTCCCGAGCAGAATCCACAAAGACGCTCATGAAGCCGAGCGCCCTGAACCCTTGAGCGGTCATGCCCGGACCGAGCTCTTAAATTTTTGGGGCCGAACTCCTGAGAAATTTGGGCAGGAGCAACCAATACTTTCGGGTGCAAGGTTTCCCCGCCTTGTGTTACATTTCGCACTCGCTCTTGCGCATCAGGCGGCTGCACCTGCAGCGCCTGAGCCACACACGGATCCAGCAGCGAAGGCGAGACGTATGGCAGGAACTCGCAGGAACCTCCGCTGTATCAGCCGTTTCATTGTGCTACCGATGTAGTGCAACAGAACATGAATATCCAGCATGGCCACCATCCAAAGCATTGAACTCCTGGGCCACAGATTGTAAACAGTATTTTGTGTAGATAGAGGTCGCAAGCCAACAGCCTCTTATAGTAAACTTAACAAACAAACTCTCACCTGTCAGAAAATCCCGAGAGCACAGATTCTTTGTCCTCACTCAAGGTTTTCGGCTTCTTGGACCAGGGTAGTGTTCGGGTGCAAAGGTCAACCCTCTCGGTCTACGTAGTTACATGTAAGCCGAAACTTACCATATAGGAGCCCGCGGGACATACTATCTGAGCGTATAGGTTGAACCTCATTTGATAAACAGCCATCACTCCGAACTTCTTTGACCTTTTGGCTGCAACCCCTACAGAGTAGAGTTCCAGGGCGTATAGGGTTCAGGATTTCAGGGGTTATGAAGCCACAGGAGGACTTTTGGATCCCATCTCGTATGCTATCACACACACACACACACAGACACACACACACACACACACACACACACACACACACAGACAGACACCAGCACCCTGTTTAATTTTTGGTCTGTGATACCTCGACGTGTGTTGTCATGGAAGGGCACTCCTTTACCTACCTATCTATCTATCTATCTATATATATATATATGTATATACGCAAGCCTGATCAAGCACCTTGACCGTTCGAACGGGCGAGCTAGTTCAAAGCCGAGCTCGTCTTTAGGCGCTGTTTACAGGGCTTGAGGCTTCGGGCTCAAGGTTTCAGGGTTTAGGTTTAGGGGACACTCTTTTCTTACTTGCTCATGTGTCTCCTGGCATTAATTAATTTACGGGGTCTTCAGATTTAGACTAGACGACGAGCCCCGAGTTTTGTTCCCCCCCGTGTTGAAGGTCTTCCAGTTTGACTTCAGCGTCTTCGACTTCTTGAAGCATGAGGCGCGACCTGGGAGTCGTTGCGATTAGCTTCGGCCAGAGAGTTTGGGGTGGAAAGCCCAAGGACTAAAGTGCCGAAAGCTTTTAAGGATTAGGATGCTCCACACGGACACACACACACACACACACACACACACACACCTCTTGAGCACTTAGTTGGCGGCAGCAGCCTAGGTGAAGAAGGCAAGTGAGAGCTTAGGCTACTAGTCTACGCATTGTGGCTCCAGTTTTGTTTTGCTGCTCTGTGATACCCAACGTTTTGTTTTGCATTTTACACCTTTCGGAGGCCAATGCTCATGTGGTCTCTGGCAACTCGTCAAACCTTCAGCCCAAAACTTAAAGTTATTCAATATTAAATATATCTGCCCGATATCTTACTTCGCCGCCTCCAGCCTAAGATTGTGCAGACTCTCAGCAGCAGTAAGCCTTTTGCCATCGTTGCTGTTGCTGCTGCTGTTGCCAGGCCATGGCCCTCACCATGTCATACCAGCAAACGTAAGCCCTTTTTACCCAACAGTGTCTGCAGAGGCCTTGCAAACACCGCCGGACAGCCCTGCCAGTGACCCCGGCGGGGGGGAGCGGGGGGCGGAATCTTGCAAAAACATCGAAGCCTTGAACCATTGAGCCATGTGGAAGCCTAGATGGTTGCCAATATTCTTCGTTTAGGGCTTAAGGGTTCCTTTTTATAGTTATAGCCCCGACACCCCATTCTACATAATTCCCCAACCTTACAGATTTCGCTTGAAGCTGTGTGCATCAGTTGCTCTGACCTTCAAGCTTAACCCATCTCAAGACGGTTTACGCTGATGAGGAGCCTGAATCCCCCAACCGGTGTAGGCCGAGGAGTAGTCTCGGTTTAGGGTTTAGGGTTAGTAGTACTAGTAGTACCAGTAGTACCGAGACATACCCCCTCAACCACGAAGACATGTACATCTAGATATCACACTTTAGACCCTCTTGTCTGTCCAGCTCCCGCTCCGCATGGCTTCAAACTAGTCATTTCTTCAAGCCGCAAATAAGAGCAACCTAGAAGCACAGCCGCTTATGCCAACACCCTATGCCTATACCCTGAAGCTCCTGGGCTCTGGTGCACTAAATAGCAGAGTAGGTAACCTTTAACCTCTTTTGGGTAGTATGGTCCCTATAGAATCCCTATATAGCCAAACAGGTTAACCTTTAGTTCCCCATGATACCCGACAAGTAGGACTAAAGCAATAAACACCTTGAGCCCTGGCTCGTGGCTTCTTAGGTTCCGGGCCTGTTACCGGAGGCCGCGGGTCTGGGCTTCAGGGTGCAATGAGCTTGGGGCTAAGGTTCGGGGTTCAGGATTGAGGATACGCGTTCAAGGCATGCGGTTCAAGATTTTGGGCTTGAGGTCAATGATGTTTCAGAGTATGGGGTTTAGGATAGCGGTTGATTGCGGAAGCCTGCACCCTGAGTGGACCCGAAGTCGAAGCGAATGGCCGTGAACGCCTGAACTTCGAAACCCAAACCTTGCATCAGCCATATATATATATATATATATATTATATGTATGCATTATGTGTGTATACATATATATATATATATATGTGTAGATATCTATATATATATATATTATGTATAATACGTAATATGTACATATATATATATATATGTATATATATAGATATATATTATTATTATGTTGTATTATACTATATAATATCATGTTATATTCTAGTATATTATACTATATTATATTCGATTAGATTATATCATGTTATATTAAATATATTATATTATATGTATATAATGTATGCAATGCTGATAACCAACAGTGTAAAGACTCAAATTAGGGCTCCTGATATACACCCTCTCCATAAAACCCTCTTCCAAGTATTAGCGCCCCCTATAAACCCTCTCTCAGAGGATTCGGGCCGAATTGGGGCTTCAGAGACCAAGGGTTCAGGGGTTGCTGTTACTACGGAGCGGAATCACTTTGTCATGGTTCGGTAACATGTTACATCTTTATGGGTACTTGCATCCAATAGTGAAAAATAATGTACATGTTTAATTAAATCTCGACCATGAACTAGATCAGTGGCCCGAAGATCCACACTCTTTCTTCTCATCCGGGAGTTTCAGGGAATCAGTTTTACTGTCTTGAGGAATCCTTCTGCAAGACCGTCCAAACAAGGCAATATAGGGGCTTCAATATTTACCGATTCTGGGGTTCCTCATTATAAACTATACTATAATCTGCCCAAAGGCCCTTCTTCAATCATTAAGGCTCCTAGAGTATGCTCCGTAGCCGAAACTGAACCCTGCTTTTCTGAAGCCGGCATCTGGGAGTTTCCGAAAATAGGGGACCCTAATATAGGACCCTAAATAGTAGGGTCCTTATTATATATAAGTACCCCAAAATATGGTACCCCTACTTTTCGGAAACTCCCATATCTGGATTGTCTGCATTCGCGCGAGGCGCCATCGGTAACTTCTCACCCTGTGGTCTTTCCTCCCAGGCGCCAGTCACCCCGTGTGGGGGCTTGAACAGTTGGTAATCTTATCCCCTGAAGTCCCTTCTACCTAAACTAATTGTAGGAACCTGATTAAGAAGCCTTGGGCCTTCATTCATCAGGGTTCCTTAAAGGAATCCTACTATATTGGGGTTATAGGACCAGGGTTTCTTAATCAGGTTCCTACACTAATTGTCATATCCCCAAAACCCTCGCCTGGTTAGAAGGAGCATGCTGTCAGGGGTTTGACGCAACATGTTGATTCAGCCCAAATTGGGTCAGGCACGGCCTCACTCACCAGTATGGGAGTATGGGATATATGATGATGTACCTATACGGCATCAGTCGTTCGTTTTGCGGGATCGTGGTCTTGGCTGTAGGGTAGGTATGCGGAGTAGTCAGTGATCTCTGCTCGTCTACTGTTGGACTAGGTGCACGTGGGTTCGGCACTACCTTGGCTTCTGGAACAAACATCAGATTCTGTTAAACTGCTGCGGCAACCCCACTGGAGGGGCAAATGGCATCAAGCAAATTGGTACTCATCGAGAGCTGTTCACGAAACTTGTGCAACGACGAGCAGAAGTTAGTTGAAGAAGCAGCCCTTGTTTCACAGTCTTTATTCTTCACTGTGGGCTTGCCCTAGTGTGTCGTGAACACATTGATACAGTGTGGTTGTTGCTATACATAAACGTCCAGGTGCCTGAAGAAGTTGCAAGCTATAAGCTGATCCCCCTAGAGTCTTCCCATCTCTCTAATGTTGCACCTGCTTCCAGATATCTGCAAAACCCAACCATCTGAGCTTAATCACAGACCATAAGCCCCAAGCCCGAAACCCCACACACTACCCTGCAAACCCCGCGACCAAAATCCTTGAAGCCGCACCCCAAGCCGTAAACACAAAAGCCCGGAACCTTAAAGCCATACTAGACCGCAAACCCTTAAAGCTTCAAAAACATAAAGCTTCCACCGAACAGGTCTCCAGAAAAGGCGCCCGAAGGCGGTTATGGGTTTAGGGCTTTTAGGGTTTAGGGTTTTCAGGGTTTGGAGTTTTAGTGTTTTGGTGTCTGGGGTTTAGGGCTTTAAGGTTTGGGGGTTTAGGGTTTGGTCGGTGATTTCAGGTGCCTGCTGGAGTCCGGGGTTTTGGTGCAGTTTCCAGGCTTCAAGACACTCGTAACCCCGAATTGTCGGCGTATATCATATGCACCTCCCATCATTCGGGACATGCAGCAGAATTTTTGACTTCTGGTTCGGTTATCTAGTGACCCAGATATGGGAGTTTCCGAAAATCGGGAACCCTAATATATTAATATAGTACCCTAAATGGTAGGATCCTTCGCAAAAAGGTACCACTAATTTTGGGACTCGGAAACTCCCTCTTGGCTTAAAGCAGCTGAAAAAGGCAGAGTCTCGGTCTATTCGTGTTTGTCGATCGTGGCGTGGGCAAGGATGCTTTAGTGGAGCAATGCAAGTCTCCCCGTTCCGAAACCGCTAGACTCAAAACCGCCAGTGGGGGCAGGACAGGCGGCTTGGAGAGTTTCGGTGATTTTTGGCTAGGTAGATTAGTTCCTCCACGCCCATGCTACCTAGCCTTAAACTGACTGTCGGTTTTATCAATGCAACTCATCAGAACTTCGTCGGCTTGCAGCCACCGTTGGGCCGCTTGGGTAAGTGACCGGTCAGCCCGCAAAACCATAAATTCCTGTATATAGTCATTCTCTGCCCAACGTACCTAAGACTTCACATTCCGCTGTTTATATGCACTTCTTGAACCCACGGAGCCACATTATGTGCGAGCACCATCACCACACACCACACACACACACACCCGCGCACACACACACACACACACACACACACCCGCGCACACACACACACACACACACGCGCACACACACACACACACACACACACACACACACACACACTCGCCGCACAACAGCGGTGCACGCGACGGCGAGTGTATCGTTGCGGTAATGTTTGGGGCTGCTGGACATGAAACACATCATTGCTAGCAGGACGTGCACCTGGCATGTCGTCATTGCGGCTGCTGCTGCTGCTGCTGCTTCTGTTGCTGCTGCTGCTGCTGCAGCTGCTGCTGCCGCTGTTGCTGCTCGTGCTGTTGCCGTTGCCGTTGTAGTGGTGCTGGTCGTTGTGGTCGTTGTTCTCGTCGTCGAGCATGATATCCCAAACTCCCCCGCTACAGGTACAGAGGCCGCTGCACGCCACAGCGTGCTTGAGGATTCCCCACTGCCGGGGTACCTGGCGGATTGAGGTTCTTGTTGTTTCCGCGCGTTTGGGTTTCTCTTCAGGTTACGTCCTGTTTGGGTATAGGGATAGATTGTTCAAGGGTAAAAGGAGGGACCCTTAATAAGGACCCCTAGGTATGTACCCTTAATATAGCTATTATATGCCCATTATATAGCCCCATTATAGGGTAGGTCCCAATTAAGGGTCCCTCCTTTTCCACTTTGAGACTGGAGACAAAGCAGCGAAACTACTAAAGCCGACCGGTTCAATCATGAGGTCCAGATTGTAAATCCGAAGCCGACGCATAGGGTTTGCTGCTTCGGATTTCGGATTTAGGGGTTTGTGGTTCGTCTTGAGCAGTTTAGGATACATAACTTATAAGACTTCAAGGATTAGGCATGTTTTCAGCGCTGTTCAGCCCTAGAACACCTTCACAAAAATCCTGTCCGAGTCTGAAACACAATCTAGAGCTTGTTGACTATGCCCATGGCCTCTCAATACTGAGACTAGGTCGCTATACCCGAACATCCTAAGATCCTAAGATCCTCCTCTGATTGTGAAGGCCCCTACATTAAAAATTAAAAAACAAAAAACTTTTCCTGCTGCGATTGAAAAACTGAGCAGTCCTTGCAGCCCAGGCCGCACGGCTCAACGCGAAGTCGGGACTTTGAGATGTTTGGGAACTGTTGGGACTACCGGGGTTTCTACGCATTCTTTCGATATGGGTTCGCACCTAGAGCGCGCAATTTCGAGGTGATTCTGTGATTGACGTTAGAGGCTCTACCGGGACCCCAAAATTCAAAAGTATGTAGAGTACTAGCCCCTATAGGGTTTTGGGCCATTATTTAACCTACTTTTGGGGTTTTAGGATTGGACCCAAATAAACCCTAAACCCTATACCCTAAACCCTATGATAGTTGGCACAGCCATTTTTGTGCGAGTTTTCAGTCAGACCATGCATACCCCATGGGCTACACCAGGAAAATACTGAAAACCCCCCCTTTGAGGAACCCGATAACCCTTACAGGAACCGTTTAAAGAACCTTATAACCCGAAAAAGGAACCCTATAAAGCTTGACTTTAGGACCATTTTTTGACAAGTTGTTGCTGTTAGAAGCCTGAGGTGCAGTTCATGCAGCAGCCGCTTACCGCAGCTGTCCCAAAGCTTCGAGCCATCCACGGCAGCATCAGCCTACGCATAGCCAAGACGTGAATACGTGAGAGGGCGAGATACTGTCGCTTCACATGACTCCAAGAGCCAAGGAGCAGCTCACAAAAAGCAGCAGTTCCCAGCCGGAACGATGTCACCCAGAATTCAACTCGTTGTCCAGTTTTCGAGCACACGCCTGAAGATCTACTTCGCACCAAAAAACATAGAGTCTTTCTTCGATAGCTGCAAGCAGAGGGCATTTTGCAAGACTCTAAAGCTTGACCCGAAGTCGCTAGACTGCCTCTTAGAAGCAAGTACAGCTATATCTCCAATTCACAGAAGTTCACATGCTATGTGTGATTCAGAGTTTTGAGTAGTAGCTGAGCATGCAACCGTTGGCCTTGGGGGTAAATACATAGATGTCGGAGAAAACTGCCGATACTGCTCTTCAGGGCTGCTTATTGTTTACTACAGCAGTTCCCTTGATTAAGGCCCCTATAATACGCACCACCACCCCGGCCCAGAAGCTTAACCTTCTGTGGGCCGCGGATCTCAACGTTTGGAAGCTGTTCTGCCCTGAATCCTCGAACCCTCTAAACCCTACATACCTTAACGAAGTCTTGAACAGCACTAGCAACTAGTTGAACTCGGTTGTCTGCTCCCTCCGTCATGGAGAGCGAGTGACTGCAACACCTGAGAGGCTGGCGAGCTGTTCTAACTGCCTGCGATACTGCGTTGCAGGGTTCAGGGCTTTGCGGGGTCTTGCGTGTCAGGTTTTCGGGTTTTACGAGGCTTTGCCACCCTATACTAGTGAAGCCTCCCGACTGCCAGGCCAGGGGTTCGGCCTGAGCTTTCCGGGTTCAGGGCCCCTGCGTCTTGTTTTTTGGATGGAGCTCATGTGGTGAATCTTAGGAAGCTTATGTTTTGTAGGACGCATGATGCAGGGCCATGAATACTGAGGAATAGTATCCCTTTGGCTCAGGATTCCCCTAGTGTACGTATGATAAGATAAGCCTCCAAAAAGACCCGGTCCAGCTTCATAAAATTAATCTAGGGGCCAGAACAACGAATAGCATGCCTTAGCCTTCCCCCAATCTGAGGATACGGATGTGCCTTCACGCCCTACTGGTATCATGTTTAAGCCCAACATTCTCGCGCCCCGTGCCTCCTGAACAGTCCTCGCAAATTTCTGGCACGATCGAGTCATCAAAGACCCCCATCAAGATACCGCCGAAGAAAATACCAGCTTCCTCGCCATGGTCGCCATAATGATCTTAAGCATGATCACCCAACCAGTTCTGATATGTTCATCAGCTTCCTGCTCATCATCGTCGTCATAATCATCACATTGCATCTGTCATCGCCATCTCCATCATCGTAGCCACCATGGCACACGAGGAAATACTCGCAGACATGCCCTGACCATAGGCACCTCACAAGGCTAGTCTTGCCAGGCCTTCGTCCCACTTGGGGAGGATGCTCCCTTCGCAGATGTTTGGGCGAAGTGGTCCGGAGGCTCTTTTGGGGTTTGGGGTCTAAGGATTTGGGTTTAGGGTTTAGGGGGGGGGTTCATGATTTAGGGCGCTCGAGGTTGAGGGCCGATAGGTTTGTTGGCGATTGAATGCTTTGGGGTTCAGCCGTTCTCTTCTGGAGGGTAAGCTCTCAGGCTCAGCTGCTGTTTGCGGCTCTAGTTCGGCTTTTGGGCTTTGGGTTTAGGGTTAGGCTATTAGGTATGGCTTACTTTCGAAGCTAGGTGTCGAAGGGTTCTGGCTGGCGGTTTCGATGTTGGACGGCGTGGGTTCACACTGTAGGTTGGTTTAACATGGGGGCGTTATCAGTTACCTATACTATCCTGGGGGTTCCTCAATCATAAATACAGTATGAGATGCACCAAAACCATATTCTTATTAATTAGCCCTATACATGAGATTTCGACTCAATTCCCGACTTGTATTCGGAGCAGGGATCCCTGAAAGTTGATTGTCAGGGGCCCTTGGGGGAAGTTCTCCATCCGGGGCCCGAGAAATGAGAAGCGTTGCATATTCCTTGGTGACAGCCTTAGTGTGTTTCCTAACATCTATTCGCAAAGGATAGAAAACCCCCGAGCTCCATTGGGCTTAACGGGTGGGTTGGATGTTGGGTGCCTTGAGAGGTTGCCCATAGGCTCCCTAGTAGTTCCTTTTTGGGATTACCGTATCGGACTCGAAATATGAACCCCGAAAAGGAATTGCTATGGAGCCCCAAGGTAGGGCCTATAGCAAGGGTCTAATTTAGCGGCCTAAAAAAAAGAGAATTGGGGTCCTTTTAGGATTCCTTTGCAGGGCTCTCTAAGGGTTACTATAAGGCATATGAGTGTTTTGCAAGATTTTGGGACAACGTCTCTTTGCCGCTGGGTCGCTCACGCTTCCTACTGTCATCATAGGGACCCTTAGGGGGGTGGGGTACGGGTAGGGGGCCGTAATGCCCATGATAAGGACCTAATAAGGTCTATTTAAGGAAACATCGTCCCCTACCCCTCCTCCCCCCTACCTCCCTAAAAATCTTATGATGTCAGCCAGGTCTTGGATGAGAACGAGCCGATGCCTCAGGGAACGCCAATGCCGCTACTGTGTTTTCGGATGGTTTTCAGCTTGGTCTAGTGTTCGGTTTTTTCTGCAGTGTTCCGTAGCCCTTTAAACACACAACTTCAGCTCTTATGAGTTCACGCAGCTATCTCTGCCTCTCCTCAAAAAACTACTCGACCTGTGCTGCTTCCCCAGGCATCACAACAACATCATTCTTGCGAAAGCCTTCAAACCCAAAATGCCGAAAATCATGAGTCCTGAAGCACCGACGTCATAACCCCCTCCCCCTTGCAAAAAACAAATACTGAAGCCGGTCAAACACCCCAACAGACCCTCAAGCACCCCCTCCACACCCTAGCCCTAAACCCGTAAAAACTGTCAACATACCGGCTATAGGAGTAATAGTAAGACTATAGTAAGACGACTAATGAGCTTTTCATGATTGCGATCGTAGTGGGAAGAAAGTATTGAGCCCAAAGCCCAAATCACCATGCCCATGTCGGCCAAAACACCCCAAAACTACAGTTAGAGCCGCCAAGGGTGTACTTTGCTGTGTTTTCAGCACAGATGTACGTATAAGCGCTATAAGCCCTAAACTCCAAACCCTGAACCCTCATCCCTATAAGCCCTCAACCCTAATCCCTAGACTCTAAACCCTAGCCCCTAAACCCTAATCACTAAACCCTAAACCCTAGTCGCGAATCCCTAAACCCTAATCCGTAAACCCTAACCCTAGCCCTTCATCCTTAAACTCTAATCCCTAAACCCTGCACCCTAAACCCTGGTCTTTCATCCCTAAACTCTAATCCCTAGACCCTGTAGTACCCTCCTAAACCGCGAACACGCAACGCATCTCAGGCGCGAGCGCCGGCGTGCTGTCCTGGCCCAAAGAGCAGGTCAGAGACAGGAGGCCAGTAACACCTGGACCCCAAAAGTATGTAGAATAACAGCCTTTATAGGTTTTGGGTCATTATTTTACCTACTTTTGGGGGTCTAGGCAACAGTGTTAGTTCTTAAAAACCTAGGGTTTATAGGGTTTAGGTTTTTCAAGTTAGTCTTTATTTATAGAGTTTGGGGTTTAGGTTTATCAAATTATGAGTATGATTATTAGTTGAGGGTTCAGGATTTCAATGTTACCCTAGGGCTCCAGCTACCCAAATAGTAAGATACTAACGATATATTGCCAGTAACCCATTACTTAGGTAACTGTAGCTCCAGGGTTAAGTAAGAGTGCGATCGCTATTTGTTCATTCAACTTTTATTTGTTTACGTACTAATGCGAATATTGATGTCATGACGAGTACTCATTGAGAGCGAAGGGGTCAAGGAAGAGCTCTAGTGACTTTCTGTTTTACTTTCTGTATCTTTTTTTGCAAGGGTTTTGATCAGGATGTTATCTTACCCGAGAATCCGAAACTTTGTAACTGGAGGAGTATCCCTTAACAGTTGGGTGGAAACCTGATCTGATCTAAGGCATCTTGGAGTCCCTGAGTTGGTGGAGTGTAGATTTCTGCAGGGTTTCTGTAGGGTGACTTGTAACTGATGAGGGTCTTATCAGGATTCTCTCAGGGAGCTGGAAGGGTGTAATGATGGGTGCTTGTAGGTTTCTTGAGGGCCTCGTAAAGGTGTTATAGGGACGAAAGGAGGGGTCCGGGTTTTGGTGTTAGGGTTTAAGGAATCGGGTTGAGTAGGGCTTTCATTAGGGGTCTCAAGATTGTTCGTTCGAGGACCTGTCCCCCTCACTTAAGCCCCGAAGTCGAGCAGAAGGATGCAAGATGATGCAAGGATCCATGATGCTCATCCCCGTTTGGCGCAACTTCAAAGGAGCGACCCCAGTGGGATGAGGGTTTAGGCTGGAGGGTTTAGCGATCTTCTGGAAGCCCTACAGGCTGGAAAGTCGAGACTCCACGTTTCAATCAAGGTCGGGATCAGATCAACATTCAGGGTTC